ATATTCACACACAAATTGTATTCTATCCTTTTCTTAATTACTTTTTTTTTTCCAAAAAGTTTGTGGGTTCAATGAACCCACTTGAACCCACCGTGGATCTGTCACTGGTGGTCATGGTTGGTTGGCCATGGAAGAAGATGGTGAGGTAGGAAGAGAATAAAGAATAAAATTATTAAAAAAAAAATTTACCGGTTCAATAGGTTTTAGGTAAAAAGGCTTGTTTTGAGAAGATGTTATTGAAAGATGGAATTGTTTTCAGATTTCGAAAAAGTTTGATTATTTTGTGCAAGCCGGAATGGTAAAGGTGAGATTATTAGTTTCCATTTTTCCTATTTCCTTTTATTTTTAGTTAGTTTTTTTTAGGACAATTTTCAAAAGCAATGGTGACAATTATTTTGTTGTCACTTTAACTTTATAATCATGACCATGCAGACATTTTTAATAGAAAATTTATATATGTAGTCATATGAGTTTGTTAAATTCGTTTCAACGTATATAAATTATAGGACACTTGAATTTAAAATCTCAAACCTTATACGTTGATTTTGCTTATGTGGTGAATCGTTTTATTAGTTCAAATATAAATTACAAATTTCTTTTTTCATTGGATAAAAATAATTAGCTTCCTAAGTAGAATTCTAAAATCTTTGAGAAAAATATATCTCTCTCTCTATCTATCTATCTATCTATCTATCTATCTTTCTATCTTTATATAATATAGAACTGAGATCATGTGAGAAATTTGGTGAATAATGAGAACTAGGAACCGATCTTAGCTTTTAATCTCGCTCAATCTGACAGCTCACTTTTCACCTGCTTTCATTAATGACATTTTCGTAATTTCGCAGCTTTTCAAATTTTTCCCAGTGTTTTTTTAACTTTTAAGGCAATTTCATTTACCTTATGACTGATTTCATTTACTTTTACTAACTTTTCATTTACTGTTTAGAAATGAAACTGAAAATTATTTTATAAAGTTGAAATATTACGAAAATGCCATTAATGACATGGGAAGCATGTGGTCCTAGTGGACCGTCCGAGTAACATGATCTAAGGGCCTAGATTAGTTTCTAGTTCTTATTATAGCCTTGGTTCTCATTATATATTTTAAAAATATATTTCGTGATGAATCTAACAAAATCCTAACTGACAATATTTTTCATTACGTATAAATCACAAAGAAAAGTATCAATAGTGCTAATGTAAAAATACGTCAAATAAAAAAAAGGAGGAAGTATATTCACCCTTTGTTTATGTATTTTATTTTTTAATTTACTCATTTTCCTTTTTTTTAGATGTTTTTATGTTTACTCACTTTTAACTTACTGTTTTTATAAAAAGTTGACATTCTGAAATGTAACGTGACGTATCTAACAAGATCTCAGATGACTATATTTTTCATTGCATATAAATCACAAAGGAAAGCAAGAATAGTTCTAAAATAAAAACATGTCAAATAATAAAAACAGAGGAAGTATATTCACCATTCGTTTATTTTATATATTTACGTAATTTACTTATTTTCCTCATTAGATATTTTAATTTTCACAAAGTTTCATTTGTGGTTGGCCATACTGTGTGCCTAGGGTTACTCGGTAAAGGGTTACTCGATCGGTCAGGGATTACTTGGTTATCGGTTACCCAGTCGGTCATTTCCAAATTCTGTTTTTTGAAATGGGACCAACAAATTTTAACTACCAGAAATCAGTCAATTTCCGCCGGATAGGTTCTGACGGACACATAATTCTGCTGGAAAAACTAAATTTTCTAACAGATTTACTTCCTGTCGGATATTTTTCCGACGAATTTAATAAATCCGTCGAAAATTGATGACGGGTAAAATCTTCCGTCGATACTGGTGGTGGAGTATCTTTTTTTTTTGGCAAGATTCTACCGGAAAATTATATCTTTCATGATGTCGAGTTTTTATAAATTTTACAACAATATAAATTAAAATACTTAGTTGTAGAATCTGCATTGAAAAGCGTGAAATCATCAATGTTTGCAATTAAAAAAAAAACGAAAAACCTATATCTTATTAATGATTCCGAACCCACACTTTTGAAATCCTGGATACCCCACTGTCTACAACCACCAGTCGGCACCACCTGCTCTTCTCCACCACCTGGCCAATTGCTTACACCATTCTCTTACTCGCCCTCACTCTCTCCTTCGCTGCCTATTTCCTCCTTAATGCCTCCGTCAACCACCGAAAATAGCCCCTATTTGTTTGCCACCAAACACTGCATCCTATTAAACTGTTAGATTATGTAATTAATCTAGTGTATATTATTAGTTGTATTTTACTAATGTATCCTTAGTCCTAATCCTAGTATACTCTTGTATAAATACTAATGTTCAATCAATGAGAAAGACACGGCAAATAGTATGATATTCTCTCATAAACCACCTGCGTTAATCACCGGCGTGATGCTGTTCCTTTCACCTAAAATTGACCAAGCCTCCTCCCTTTTACTCCATTATTATTGCACTCTTCTCTTGTTTTCTCTTTCCCAGTTGCCTCTAATTCTCTTTCCTCTTTATTCAAAATTAATGTAGTAGCAACAGTCAATGATCATCAACCTCCAAGACACCCCTGTCAGCTGTACGTCAGCATACAACAAGGCATCGCCATCCTCTGTTTTGCCACCCCTCGACCAAAACCAGCAGGCCTTCTACCCCCACACTAACATAAAGTTGGCTAGCGTTTTGTTTTCTTTGGAAAATTTAGGTTGATTTTTTTGATAAAAATTATTAGCTAATCACAACATGCCACGTGGCTCAAGTAACGTTCTAAAACGGCTAACACAGGTCACAGATCATATTTAGAAGACATCCTCCATAGTTCGGATTATTCCACAGTAACCCATACTTGGGATTATTGTGGGAAGACCACCAATAATTGAGATTATTCATGTGAATTTTTCCTATACTATAATATATTTTGTTGAAAAACTATTAATTTTTAAAAAATAAGTAAATACTCCATAGCAAAATATATTATACTTCGTAAGGTTTATAAGTTTCAACACATTAACGAACACATAGTGGTGACATAGTTGAAAAAAATACATAAGCAAACTATTAGAAAGCTATAAATATATTATTTAAATACATGTATAATAATACATATTTTGCAAAAAAACTATCAGATTAATTAATATATATAATTAAATACTCCGTAGCTTCTTCTATCTCATTATAAAGAAAAACCGTTTAAAGGCTGAAAGACGACTACTAATGGTTTATTATTAAAATATTAATCATATATAAATTGTGACTTGTTCAAAGGAATAAAATAAAAAGAAAAAGAAATTTAAAGTCAAACCAATTAAAGTATTAATCGGATTGGCATCATTCTAGCAACATACATAAAATGTCACACAATAAAATGGTACTGTCTTATTTAAATGTATAAAGTATAATACACTTATTTTGCTGAAAAACTATCAAATTAATACTCCCTCCATTTTTAAATACTTGTTTCATTTCTCCATGCGCGGAGTTTAACGAGAAATTGGAGAAAGTAATAAAATATAGGGGTAGTGGGCTAGGTGGAAAAATAAAAAATTGTAAAAAGCAAAAGTAGTTGAGAGAATTGGAGGAAAGAGAATGTGAAATTAATAAAATATGATTTATGTTGGGTCCACTAGTTGAGAGAAATGAATAAAATATTGTAAAAGATTTCCAAATAAGGAAATGAAGCAAGTATCTAAAAACGGCCGGAAATAAAAAGTGCAACAAGTATTTTAAAACGGAGGAAGTATATATATATATAATTAAATACTTATATACTAATAACACACACATTAACACACGGTGGCGACATAGTAGAACTTATCGTTGAATAAAATACATAAACAAACTAATAGAAAGCTCCTATAAATAGCACGAAACATAACTAGGAAACTCACAAATAAAAGAAACCTTCCATTGTATACTACTAGAGTACATCACAAAAAATAGTTGTGAAAAGTAAAGTTACAAAAATACCAAAAATGGAAAACAAGGCTTCCTCCAAAAGAATCATGCTAGCTACCTTGGCCGTTTTTGCATTAGGTTTGTTTTGAAATCCTGCATTCTATACTTTTACTGTTGTTTTCAATAATCATGCATGTTTTTGAATCAACCATTATATATAATTGTGTTTAGACATAGATAAATATGCATGACTACTAATTCAAGTCTTCCATTTTATGTTATAGTGATGATGCTGCAAATCCACATTGGAGAAAGCGCGTGTCCGGCAGCATATGATGATCCATGTACCACTCCTAACACATTATGCTGCCCTACTGATCCAACCTTGCATTGCGTTGAAGTTGCGGACATGGTGTACAAATGTAAAGATGATCCCATATGTGAGGATCACGCAGGACATGAGTGTTATCCTGGTTATTTCGATTGTTGCCCTGGCCTAACTTGCGCAACTAACCAGGGTGGTGGTCTCACTTGCCAGTAGTGAATGCAATCACTATATAATGTCTATAAACTCTATCTAAAGTGCACGCGACGCCGGCTATGGAGCTCATACTTGTTGTGTGCTATGTGTATTGCATGTGTAGCTTTTGTTACACATTCTATTTCAATTTCCTTGTGTTTGTTGTTTGAGATCCACTTTATTTTGCTTTGTCTTCTCTCCTTTCTTGCTTGTATTTTCTATATGTGATATGGCTTGGATTGTATTTTTCAACTTTAAACGATGGTTAATAAAATTCTCAAAGTCTTGCCTCAATTGGTTTGTTGTGTTTTTTCTCTTTTTGAACTATAACTATATTATCTATAGCTTGGACTTCACTTTCCCAAAATACAGGAGACAACGTACATAAAATTTCTTTGGAAAAATGGAAACTAATTTAATAATCCCACTTTTGCTATTTCTTCTCAAAGCAATCCCACCTTTTCGAAATCTGGAAATATATAATCCCATCACTAGTAGAAAAAATGAAATAGGCACCCCCCCCCCTTAGCACCGGTTCTTGATAACCGGTGCCAAAAAAAATGGGCGGGATTGAAAATTCGGTTTTGGCACCGGTTCGCCTTAAACCGGTGCCAACTATGGTAATTAGCACCAGTTCAAATCGGTGCCAATTAAAAAAGGAAAAAAAAAATTGAGGTATGCGTTACTCTGCTTCTTCATTCTCTTTCCTGTTCTTTTTCCATTTCCATTCTCTCTCTTCTCTCTCTTCATATGCTCTCCTCTCTCACCTCAACCATACCTTCAACCGCAACCGCAACCACCATGCACCGCTCATAGATTCTCTCTCCCCTTTTCTTTTCGTGCTCTCTCCTCTAGCCTCCTTTTACCCTATCAATCGTTTTCTAGGGTTTATCGCCCTTGTTATACCTCTAAATCTCAATCTCATATCCAATCACCTCTCTCTAATTTCTAGGGTTTCGAATTACACTAATGTTGCAATAATTGGAGGCTGGAGTTGGTGGTGATTAAATTGATGTTGTTGAACACAAAGAGGCAAACTAATATCAGCAGGCTACACTTCTTCTTTCTCGAGGTTTCTTCATCTTGCTCGATCTTTCACTCTATGTTACTCTCCTAATTAAAGTACTTATCGATTTTTTAATTTCTGTAATTTCGATCAACTTCTGTCGTTTTTTAAGATATTAGGGTTTATTACTCTTATCTGGGTTTTCATTTCATTTTTTATCGGCCAATTTCTGAAGCATGCATATCATTTTATTTGTTATTCATATCATTTTTGATAATCTTGAAGCTGATTGATGGAAATGATTGATCTGGGTGTTTGTAATTCTTGTTAATTTTGTGTTTTTCTAGTGTTACTTTGATAATTATGAAGATCTGTCGTGATAATTTTTGTGGGTTTTTTTTTTATTGAATTAGTTTTGTGACCGATTTGAATTAGAGATCTATTCAATTAGTTATTTTATTTAAGTTCATTGATTACTGGGGCTCTTTGTTTGTGCTTATGAATTAGAGAATTACTAAATTAATTTTGTGGGGTTGTTGAATATGATAATTTACTGATAAATTTAGGTGTATTAATTTGATGCTTTATCAGGTTAAAGTTAGAATTTAATTTGCTGAAATTATTACAGTTGAGGCAGTGTTTTTATGCTTATTGTGTTACCTTGAATTTACAGATTAAAAGTTGTTGCTGCATTTTAGTTAGATTTGTAGATTTGAGGGATTGAAGTGGGTTATCAAAGAGGTTGAGCATTGGATGAATGGGTTGGAAGATACATATTGATGAACTGCCCAGGTGTAAAGATCTGGGCTGAAGTTTCCTTTGTTTTCGTGTTCGTTTTTCTGCTGCATTTGCCTATGGGTCAACAAATCCCAGTGATGGTAAGTGTTATCCTAGCAATTTAGTTCATCTATCAATTTCAATGGTTTTCTTAAAGTTGATAGAGGATGTGCAAAATACTTCTAAACAATCTGTCTTGTGGATAGCTTATTAGGGGATAAGTTGCAGCTCTGTGTTATTGTTTTTGCATTCAGGTTGCTTAAAGGCTTAAGTTCTATCTGTTGTTAGGTGACTAATTGGTGCTTTAGACTTCTAGAGTATACTTAATGTGTACTCAAGTGATGCATCCCTGACTTGTTGCTGTTTTACTTATGGTTAATTTGTAACACAATTCCTTATTTGGATTTATTTAATTGATGGCTTAGATTGGTCTGTGTTGTTTAGTTAATCCGATTGATTAGCTTTGTAGTTTTCGAATCTTTTTGATACACACATAACATATTAGCTTCATGATGTTTGCTTAGATCAAACAGGAGCTTTATAATTGGACCGTTTTACCTCTCTTACCCATGTCAATATTTATTGTGAATTATGACGAGTTTCACTGGCTGATTAATTTGTGTCTGTAGGACATTTGATGAGTCATGTATAGTAAGCTTGTTGAATTTTGATGCTTGTAGTTCTCTTACCCGATTATGGAAGATTGATCGATTATTCTAACTGGATTTACTTAGTATTTTTTATAGTTTTTGCTTTTTCCTTCTATCTTTAGGGTTAGGATGAAGTTAGCCAGCAACATCTTATATTAATTTACTTGGTAGCCCATACTTGTAGCCTTGTAGGTGTTGGATCTGTTTTATAATAGTGTCATTGCTGGACAATTGGACATTGTTCATTGTTCTCTTTTTTCCTTGGAGTTTAGAGGAATTACATGTCGTCATTTGATGCATCTCTTGGTGCATTTAGTGACGGAATCTTAGTGCTTGTCATTTTCTTTTCTTCATTTTTTTCTTGATTTGGTTGTGTAAGTCAAGCAGGGACCTTATTTGAAATTAACTTTGTGGAAAGAGTGTACTTACAAATAGTTATAATTCGTATGTTTTCTTTTTCCCCGATAAACAGCTGATAAAATTATACTTCGTATTTATTCCCAATTACAAACAAGAGCCCAGAATCACTTCCATGCCCATTTCCTGCCAACAAAATATCACTGTGAGGTGTGCTGTTGTTGAAGTAAGTGAGATGATGGGTTAAGGTGAGTGACTGAGTTTGACTAGAGACTACATGATGGAGTTTTAGTACAACAAAGGGAGCCACACATCATACAGGCTATAAGCCTATGATTATACGATGTAATCATACAAGAATGATAATCACTTTGTCCCCTTTCTTAAAGTATTTCATTCTTTTAATTTTTATTATCTCTAGGGCAAGATAGAGTATTTCATTCTTTTAATTTTTATTATTTATGTGTAAAGGCTCTATGAGAAGTTGCCACTCCTGGTGAAGGGTTATGTTAGAATTAGGAACCAATGGCCTAATGTTTAATGATTTGTGATGCTACATTAGCATACTAAAACCATTAGGAGTGAAATTGATAACTAGTACTCCGTCTGAACTCAAACTCCATTACTTTATTATTGCAATATCTAAAGGGTGTGTGGAGTTTAAGGAACTCACCTGATGAGGAGAGATAGAAAGAAATAAAAGGAGGGACCCATGTGACAGGAAAGAGATAGTGAGAAATCATATGCAAATAAAGAAAAGTTGCATCAATAAGATGCTTCCATAAAAAACAGTGTTGCAATGGAATGAGTATTTGCGACATAGAGGTATGGCTCAAATTAATAAGGAGAACTTTGAGAGTTTAATAAACTAACTTAAGGGGCAGTATGGGTAGTCTAGTATCATCAGGTTATTAGTCTTAGTTTTAGTGTAAATAGAGAGGGATGGGAAAGGAAAAGGTAGGCAGATTTTGGGAGCGAATCCTTCACTATTTGAAGAGTTGTGAGCTAAATACTCTGTGGAGCTTGATAGGCTAAACCTATCGATTGTGTAAATTGTTGTTCTATTAATTAAAGCCTCAATTTTTCTTCTCTATTTTACTGTTCTATTGCATTTCTCTGTTTTTGTCCATGCTTGGCTTGAATCTATTACAGTGAGGTAAAGAGAGATAATGAGGATATGGAAAGGTCCATGTGATGGAAAGAGAGAATGATAGAAATCTTTATCATTTAATCATTAACTATGTATGCATAGATTTTTCCTATGAATTGATGAAAAAGGGTTGGAAGGAGAGTGTTGAGCTGAGCACATTCGATAGCTGATCATTTTGATTGGGTTTTAGACAACTCAGCAGTCAGCAGGGCTGTGACCTGTTCTTTTATTGATGTATATATGTTTCAGCCCTTTCAGGAGTGGATGGACGATGAAGGGATGAGGTTTTATGTTCTTTTATTCCCTGTGAATTTATGTGTTTCATCTGATCTTGCTTTCAGGATGGAAAGATTCGTGATGTGCTTTTTGAAATTCTTGAGAATGAAGACGATGTTGTTAAAAAGCATGGTGCACAGTCTAGAGAGAGTTGACGTGCAGCTACACAAGGAATGCACACATCAAGATTCTGCTTGCATCCTGCTGGCAATACTCCATCCGCTTGTCGTCTCTTTGATGCCATTGTAAGCCTGTGCATTCCAGTTATAATCAGTGACCATATTGAATTGCCTTTTGAAGATGTCATAGACTACAAGAAAATCGCAATATTTGTAGATACCAACTCATCAGTGAAGCATGGCTTTCTAGTCAAATTACTCCGGACTGTTACTGAACCTAAAATTTTGGAATACCAGCAGGAGATGAAGAAGGTATTTAACAGATACCCAGCCAGCCTGAACAGGACAGAGGCACAGCAGCACAGCAAACAGCAGAGCAGCAGGTCAGCCTGAACATACAACAACACATCAGCCAGCAGAGCAGCCACCAGCACAAGACAGCCTGAACGGAAGCAAAACCAATCACCCAGCCAGCTTGAACAGAGCAGAAACACAGCCACAGAAGCAGAACAGCCACAACCATCAGAGCAGAAACATAGCCACATCCATCAGAGCAAAAACACAGAGATAAATCTGGATTATTTAATGAGATGCAAGAAAGGTACTCAGAGATAAGTCTGGATTATTTAATTTTTTTTGGACGAAAATTGTAATATTACAGCCTTTTTTAATGAAAATATGTAACTTTATATATATATGTTAATGTTTCTATATCAGTTGAAGTGAAAAAAATGCAAAAAAAAAAATATTTTTTATTTTTTTGGGGTATTTTTGGCACCGGTTTGGACCAGAACCGGTGTCAAAAGTTTTTTAAATTTTTTTATTGAGACTTTTGGCTCCGGTTCAAAGCAAGAACCGGTGCCTAAAGTTGGGTTTTTCGCACCGGTTCTTGCTTTGAATCGGTGCAAATAGTATTGAAAAAAAAATAAAAAAATTGCACCATGGTAGTTGGCACCGGTTAGCCGGTGCCAAATCATGTAGTTAGCAACGGTTTTGAACCAGTGCCAAATTTTCATGGATTTGGCATCCCTCAAATCCCTAACGGTTCAAAACCGGTGCCAAAGGAGGGGTTTGAACCGGTGCCTTTTTACCTTTTTCATCTAGTGCATCTTTGCGCCCCATCTACTCAAAACAATCCATTTACCGGATTATTCAGTTGGTAATCTATTGGAGAAGGTTACTTTCCACGTGTCTTTTTATGATTGGTTTTTTTTTTTATAAAAAAAATAACAATCTTATTCCCCGATCTCCACCAAAACAGCAGTCAGCAGCAGCACCCTCCCTAGCCAAGCAACTCCCTTCATTCCCCGTCGTCCTCTGAACATCAGTCCCTATTCCCTTTCTCGCAAATTATATGCACGGTGGAGGTGGGTTTCTCCTTCAAGGAAGTGTGTCTACTATTACCTTAATCAGATAGATTATGCAGTTTTAGTTGTTACCCAGATGAAATCCCCAAATGTTTATTTATTAATGTATAATTCATTGATAAGAGGTGTAATTGATTGGGAAAACTGGTAAATAAGGGTCTGAGTTGTATCCACAAATCAAGAGAGAAAGTTCACTTTACAAGAACAAAGGAGGTTCCATCCCAAAACCATATGGCAATAGGAGCTTTGTTAAGTCTGCACACATTCTATCAATATGGTATGATGTCATTTTTTTGACATAAAATGTTGCTATAATGAGGATAACACCATCAAATAGATTGCTTTGACTTTCTATTTTTTATAAATTCCTTTATCCAAGCTGCAACAGATGAGGACAATATACAGATGGACGTATAATAATACCTTAGCTTTTTTCTTTGTGTGTATACCTTTTCTTTTCTTTGGCCGGAATGTAGGTTAACGCCGGAGTTTGGTCAAAGGACCCTTCTCACAACTCAATTGCCATAAAAGAATCTTTTGTGGTACTTTTTCATAAAAAGGACCTTCCTCACAAGATCAATCACTTAAAAGGACCTTCCTCGCAATTTTTCCTAAAATTACAGATTATCTTCCCTCATTTGCATTAAAAGTTAGATCATCTTCCTTGGCGAGACGAGATACTCTGTTTTTAAATGCAGTTCGTAGAACTTGTAATTTCTACTTTAGGACTATTTACTAATTTAGTTTATGGTTTTGTCTTTATATATGAGGAAGATGATGGTTCATTTACTAGTTTTGATGAGAAAATAGTAGATCATAAATATTCCTATGTTAATTATTAATAACACAACAATCAACATTCAGACTTATGACTGCGTAGTGCATACTAGTTTCTTCAATTTCAAGGCTTAAACTTCAAAAACAATGGAGATTCGATTGTAACAAGCAGGTTTATTTTTTTATTATTATTATTTTTTTAATATAACTCCAAACAGTTTTTTTTTCCTTGTTTATCTTATACGAGTATTTAAATAATTTTCAAAGTCAATTGAATGGATGGACAATATTAGTCTTTACAAATAAAGGGTCTAAATTGAAATTAATTACAATTGAAAAGTCTTCCCTATTCTATGTATCTTTCCATCTTCAATTTCCTATCAAATTTTATCTTTATTTAAATCCTCAAATTATTTCAAGTTTGTTTCTATCTGTTGGATTTCAGGAAAACACCACAATGTGGAGTGTGTATCATTGATCAATGTATGTAGAATGTTACAAGACTCATAATCCTAGTACGATAAGGATACAGAATAAAAACAAATATTTTCTTTAATCTGCGACAAATATTAACATAACTATAATATCTATCACACACCCGCAGTCATAGCAGGAGGAGGTCGTACGCTAAGACTGGATCTAAAATCCAAAAATAAGTCTTGTGGTAGGCCTTTTGTGAAAATGTCCGCAAACTGACATCTAGAAGGAACATATAGAACCAGAACTTGTCCCATGACAACCTTTTCTCGAACAAATTAAAATGAATATCCATCTCGACATGCTTGGTGTGTTGGTGTTGTACCGGGTTGCCAGAAAGGTAGATAGCACTAACATTATCACAATATACATTAGTAGCCTGTCGAAGAGGACAATGTAGCTCAAGTAAAGATTGCGAAGCCAATTCAATTAACATGCCTCAGAGACAAAATTTGCGACGCCTCGATGTTCTTTTTCTGCGTGCACTCGATTTAGATATAGTATGTTGACGCTTAGATGATCAAGAAACGAGGTTATCCCTAAGAAAGCAGGAATAACCCGATGTGGAACGACTGGTATCGAGACAACCTCCCCAGTCAGCGTCAGTGTAAGTAATCAAACGATGAGAAGCAGATGTATATAAATGTAAGCTATGATCAATGGTACCCTAAACATAACGCAAAATGCTTTTCAATGCATCATTAATGAGACTCTCAAGGATCATGCATAAAAAGACACAACCTGTTGTACCACATAGGCAATATCAGGCTAAGTGAAAGTGAGATACCGAAGAGCACCTGCTAAACTGCGATACAAAGTAGGATCCCGAAAAGGTGGACTTGCATCTGCACTAAGTTTAGACTTAGTGTCAATTGGAGTAGCTGCAGGTTTACAAGGGCCCAAACCTGCACGCTCTAAGACCTCCCGTGCATACTTCTCCTGTGAAACTAGCAAATAAGAAGGAGTATGGGTCACCGTAATCCCTAAAAAGTAGCTCAGATGACCCAAATTGGTCATAGGGAACTTAGTTTGCAATTGAGATATGATCCCTGCACGCAACTTGTGAGATGAGGTAGCTAATATAATATCATCAACATATAGGAGCAAATATGCCATATCATCACCTTGCCGGAAAGTAATTAAAAAGAGAGTTGTCACTTTTAGCAATGACAAAGCCCAATCCGACCAAATAATTCGCAAAGCGCTGGTACCAAGCTCGAGGAGCTTGCTTCAACCCATAGAGAGCCTTACAAAATCGACAAACATAGGAGGGTGCTCTCTAATCAACACTACTAGAAAATAGGCCATTTCCGACGGGAAAATTCCGTCGGAAACACCCTGAAATCCGTCGGAAAACCCGTTTTCGACGGAAATTCCGTCGGAACAGGTTGTCGTAAAACAATTTGTAGGAAAAATTTGTCGTAAAACAGGTTTTTGTCGGAAGAGGAGCTCCGGCCACTTGAAAAGTCCGTCGAAAATTTTCGACGGGGTAAAAATCCGCCAGAAACTTCCGACGGAAATTCCGTCGGAAACAGCATAAAAAAAATTAAAAAAAAATCCAGCACCACCACCTACAGCCACCCAAAAACCCTTTTCAACACCACCATCCCAAACCACCTTAACTCGCTACCACCACGTCCAACCCCTTTTCTCACCAAACCCCTTTTCCAACCATACCCCCTGCCCCCACCCAGCACCCTCACCCTAACCCGAAAAACCCACCCACCACCCTAATTATAACCCGAAAAACCCAACCACCACCCTAACCCTAACCAAATTCGTAGAAAAAATCAAACAAAAAAATCAACCAAAAAAAGGGGCGAGGAAGGAGAATTAGTACAAAAAATCGACAAAAAAATCAACCTAAATTCGTACAAAAAATCAACAAAAAAATCAAACCAAATTCGTACAAAAAATCAAACAAAAAAAAATTAATAACACAAAAACGTACCTTAAAACCCGAATTGAACTCGAATTTGGTTTATTAAGGCCAAATTTGACCATGCAAAATTCTAGTTCTAGACTTTTTCATGGTAAAATTTAACCAAAAAACCCATTCATACCGTCACACCACTCACCGTCACACCATCCGCCAGAAAACGCCGTCACAAAATACTTTATAGAGGAAGGTGAAGGGGCGTGTAGAGGAAGGAGAAAGGGGCGACAAAGGAGAAAGGGCGAGGAAGGAGAAAGAGAAGGAAGGAGAAGAGAGATAAAGGGGCGAGGAAGGAGAAAGAGAAGGAAGGAGAAGAGAGAGAAAAGGGCGAGGAAGGAGAAGGGGCGAGGAAGGAGAAAGAGAAGAGAGGCGGAGAGGAGAGGAGAGAGAAAATAGAAATGTTAAGGGAGGGGAAACCGGGTTTTCTAGGGTTTTTAGGTTTGTTTTTTTTATTATTATTTAATTATATTCCGACGGAATATTCCGACGTAATATTCTGACGGAATATTCTGTCGGAAATTTCCGACGGATATTTTTTCCGTCGGAAACATAACGTTTCGACGGATTTCATTTCCGTCAGAAGATTAAGTTTCCGACGGAATATTCCGTCGGAAAGCCCATAAATTCCAACGGATTTGTATTCCGTAGGAAATCTGTCGTAAATTTCCGACCGAATTAAAATCCGTCGGATTTGAATTTACGACGGAAAAACATGTCCGTCGGAACTGGTCCGTCTTAAATCGGCCTATTTCTAGTAGTGCAACAAAGCCCGGAGGTTGATGCATATATACAGTTTCCTGCAAATCACCATGTAGAAAGGCATTTTTGGCATCTAATTGATGAATCGACCACTTTTTAGCCAAAGCTAAGCTGAGAATAATACAAATAGTGGCCGGTTTAACTACCGGACTGAAAGTCTCATCACAATCTACACCAACTTCTTGTGACCAGCCATCACAAACAAGACGAGCTTTGTGCAATTCCCTTGTTGTTTGTGGTTGGGGAAGCTAATGCATTAGGTTTGACAGCAAACAAATTGTTCTTTCTTCGGCGTATAAGTACTGATGATGCATGTACACATAATCTTTAGACATAATCAGCTAATTCAAATGTTAATTAAGTTGTTGATCATTACGTCATTTGTCATTGAAATTAATAATTCTTAGTTTTACAACATAATTAATGGTACATGTCCAACATGATCATAAGAAGGCTTAGGAGGAGGATTTTGAAGACAGGGTGTCGATATTATGACCACAAAAGTAAAATAAATTAAACTCGTTCTTCTAATGGTGTTTAGGCTTACATTTTCCAATTTCCGAGAAATCTTCTTTAACTTCACATTTAAGTCCCTTGCAACATTTAACACCCGTGAAGTCACCACAAAGTTGGTCCTTTTTCTTACACAATTTTCCTGTCTTACAAACTCCACCAGCATGCGGAAAATCACCTAGCAGTATGCAATGTATTCCTTTGCAACACTTGTTTCCGGCAAGGCCTCCACAAAACTCGCTCTTCTTCAATTCTTACACTTTGGGTTTTTTGGTATACATTTTCCAATCGCGTTTTTGAAATTATCTGTACGAACAAACTTCAATTTTCTGCAACATTTTGCTTCTGTAATGCCTCCTCAAAAGTCGTACGCCTTCTTACATTTTGTACTTTTCGATATACATTTTCCAATTTCATCCGGAGAACATCTTTAGTAATGCACTTGAGTCCTTTGCAACATTTTTTCCCGGTATCACCTCCACATAAGTCGTATGCTTGCTTACATTTCTTTAATTTAGCGGCAACTATAAGAGTTAAGTTGAATAAGAAAGAGATTGAACTAGTCAAACATAAAGTTTGTGAAATATTAATCACTTGAAAAAACTATGTTTAAATATCAAATTTCTACATTAGATAATGAAAGGTCAAATGATAATGCAATTCATTTGAAATATGAAGCAAAATCCTTATTGATGTACAACATGAATAAGAGTATTAATTTTTAAAAATATTGGACAACAGAGAATAATTATTTCAAGAAAGAAACATACTACCTGTGTAATATTTTGTTCTATTCACTTTTAAGTTAATACATAGATAAATATGTATGACTACTAATTTGAAAGGAAATATGCTCAAAATTATTACTCTGTATATATCAGACATTTTTAGATGGAGGGGTTGTTCATTTAATGAATGTTATATAGCTGTTTATGCTTTGGGGCTTTTGATGAATATTGGGTTTTGTCTATGATGTGGCTTTGAACCAATTCTTTGTTCTGAGTTTCAAAGTTGACTTAACTTGAAAACGTTATTGCCCACATACATAATTTTTCGATATTCACTCAATTGATGATAGTTACATAATCCCATGTCGATTGAAAACGTTATTGACTACTACATAATTTTTCAATATTCACTCAATTGAAAACGTTATTGACTACTACCCGTTTTATACCAATTTGGTCAATTGGACACCTAGATCCTTATACGAACTACACACAAAGAAAGAAGACGTTATATGTCCAATAAGTGCTCATTATCCTTCTTATTTATTGCAACTTGGATTAAATAATGAATTAAAAAAAAAAAGCCAAAGCAATTACCAATTTATTTATTTGTGGCATTATATATCATCATTGTAGCAACATTTTATGTCAACAAAATCAAACGACACACATTTATACATTGATATAATATAATAATAGATCAGAGTATATCCATAAATGTAAAATATATATCCTATAGAAATAAGTAAATGAAATAAAAGAAAGAAATATGAATAACACATAGTGGCGGCATAGTATGAACTTTTCGTGGAGTATGAGCAAAAAAAAAATGAATGAATAATAATAGAAAGTTCCTATATATATAAATAGCAGGAAACATATCTCGGAAACTCACAAAACAAGAATTCTCTCCTTAGCTTGTATAGTATTGGAGTACATCACAAAAAAACAGTTTTGATAATATAATCAAAGTTACTTACCAAAAATGGAGAACAAGGCTTCCTCGAAAACAATCATGCTAGTTACCCTTGCCACTTTCGCATTAGGTATTTCTTCACTTCATTCATTCAATACGTTATGTACTTGTACTATTATGTAGTAATTGTGTTTGTTAGAAAATTTTGTATGACGACTACTAATTCATACATGTCTATCATTTTTATGCTATTAGTGTTGATGTTGCAAATTCATACGGGAGAAGGCGCGTGTCCGGCAGCATATGATGATCCATGTACCACTCCTAACACATTATGCTGCCCTACTGATCCAACCTTGCAATGCGTTGAAGTTGCGGACATGGTGTACAAATGTAAAGATGATCCCATATGTGAGGATCACGCAGGACATGAGTGTTATCCTGGTTATTTCGATTGTTGCCCTGGCCTAACTTGCGCAACTAACCAGGGTGGTGGTCTCACTTGTCAGTAGTGAATGCAATCACAATATAATGTCTATAAACTCGATCTAAAGTGCACGCGACGCCGGCTATGGAGCTCATACTTGTTGTGTGCTATGTGTACTGCATGTGTAGCTTTTGTTACACATTCTATTTCAATTTCCTTGTGTTTGTTGTTTGAGATCCACTTTATTTTGCTTTGTCTTCTCTCCTTTCTTGCTTGTATTTTCTATATATGATATGGCTTGGATTGTATTTTTCAACTTTAAACGACGGTTAATAAAATTCTCAAAGTCTTGCCTCGATTGGTTTGTTGTGTTTTTTCTCTTTTTGAACTATAACTATATTATATATAGCTTGGACTTCACTTTCCCAAAATACAGGAGACAACGTACATAATATTTCTTTGGAAAAATGGAAACTAATTTAATGATCCCACTTTTTCTATTTCTTCTCAAAGCAATCCCACCTTTTCGAAATATGAAAACAATCCCATCTTTGCGCCCCATCTGCTCAAAACAATCCATTTACCGGATTATTAAGTTGGTAACCATTAGAGAAGGTTACTTGCCACGTGTCTTTTTATGATTGGTTTTTTTTGTGATTAAAAAAAATAACAATCTCCTTCGATTGTTATTCCCCGATCCCCACCAAAATAGCAGTCAGCAGCAACACCCTCCCCAGCCAAGCAACCCCCTTCAATTCCCCGTCGTCCACCGAACATCAGTCTCTATTCCCTTTCCCGCAAATTATATGCACGGTGGAGGTGGGTTTCTCCTTCGAG